CAGTAGTTGTTTAGCATAAAAATTGCACTGGAGTAGGCCCATTGAATCAGGGGGGATTCAACGCGTCAATTTTTCCATAAATTCCATTGATTTAAATGGGCCTACTCTAGTTATGACTTACTGCACTAAAGTAAGAGTAGGCCAATTTGAAATGAGTTGACTCACCAAATCCCTATTGCTTCAATGGGCTTACTCTAGTGCAATCAACTACACTAAGCAACTGAATTTTGGCCAATGTTTGCTGGTTGTAGTGATTGTTTGTTCTCATCCTGTATCATTCTTAGTGAAGATCAGCCAAGCAGTTTGTCTTTATTCCACTTATATGTTCTATTCCAATTTAAATACAGAATTAAAATAACAAAATAAGGCCAGAATCCTGTTCACTTATGTCAGGGGTGGGCCAGCTTAGAGAGCTTAAGGGCCAAATTTTCACTCTCAGTCCCTTCAGTGGCCACATAGAGCCCAGAAATGATGGCAGAAGTGCAATTGCACAAGCATCTCCTTATGCAAGTCTCTGTTATGCAACTGGAAACGCATTGGTTGGAAAAAATAGGCATGGAACCAGTTGTGTGAAGGATAGCTCATCAGAAGGGGAAGACTACTGCATGATTGCTCTTGTGTGCGTGGCTTTTGTTAACAGGAGTTTGGCATGAGAAATGGGTATGTGTTTGATTTCCTGTGTATTTTAGTCATACAAGTGCTGAATTATAAGTGTCACCTTTCGAGAGACTACACATCTTTGATTCATAAATGTCAGGCAGGTACAACATGGCCCTCCCTATTCTGGAGATAGCCATTAATTCATGAATCTGGCCTGTGCAGATAGCTTAATTGTTTTGTTTTGTTTTGTCTTCAGAAAGCTTCGGGGTTATCCTTGTGCGTCTCTGCTGCAAAAGCTCAAAATGGCATCTTTCAAGATTTACAGAGATTCTCTCAGGTACAATTGAAACTCCATTTAGCCCAGCTTCTTGTTTCTACCAAGGAGAATAAAGCTGGCAGATTTTCTCTTCTCTGTTCTAAACTACTTCCATCTACAGTTGAAGCATAGTGCAATACCTGTTACATAGTGACCCAGTCAATTGGCCCTTCACATGATTGGAAAAGGCCCTCATCAATTCAAATACTTCTTCTTGGTTGATAGGGAAAAAGGTAAAAATCCAACATCATATGAGCAGAGTTCCACTTGGACAGTTAAATGTTCCAAAATCTACCCTTAAAGGTCCCCTAACACACTGGTTCTTAACCTTTGTTACTCAGACGTTTTTGGACTGCAACTGCCAGAAGCCTTCACCATCGGCTCTGCTGGCTGGGGTTTCTTGGAGTTGCAGTTCAAAAGCACCTGAGTAACAAAGGTTAAGAACCACTGCCCTAACCCAGTGGTCTCCAACCTTGGGCCTCCAGATGTTCTTGGACTACAGCTCCCAGAAGCCTTCACTGCCACCTCTGCTGGCCAGGATTTCTGGGAGTTGAAGTCCAAGAACATTTGGAGGCCCAAGGTTGAGGACTGCTGCCCTAAGCATCCAGAACAGATTTGGAATGGATGTGACAGTTTGCAGAAGGAAGGAGAAATCACTCCTCCTCCTTCCACAACCTTCTGCCAGCTTGTTAACTGGATTGCCACTAACCACCTCATATGCCATTTGACCATTGGTCCATCTTGCCCATTGCTGTACAATCTGACTGGCAGTGGGCCTCCAGGATTTCAGGCAGAGGCCTTTCACATCAACTGCTACTTCATTGATGTGACAGTTTGCAGAAGGAAGGAGAAATCACTCCTCCTCCTTCCACAACCTTCTGCCAGCTTGTTAACTGGATTGCCACTAACCACCTCATATGCCATTTGACCATTGGTCCATCTTGCCCATTGCTGTACAATCTGACTGGCAGTGGGCCTCCAGGATTTCAGGCAGGGGCCTTTCACATCAACTGCTACTTCATCCTTTTAACTGACTGGGATCTTCTGAATGTGAGACATGTGCTTCGCCACTGAACTATAGTCCCCTGTATGAGCCCCCCCCAAAAAGCCCTTTGAATAATGCACAATATACATATGCTATCTTACTTTGGTATGGTTCAGAGGCTTCTGTGCTAGGACTGTACAGTATGGTGCAGCTTTATTAAAGTGCCTACTGGGCATCAGCAGCAACAGCTGGAATTGTTCAAAGGAAGCTGGCAACCCCGCCTGTTTTGTCTCCATTCCCCTGTGTGTTCTGTTTTCTTCGCTTGGCTTTCATGCAAGTTATTCTGGCTGTCAAAACTGGCTGTCGCAACACTGCCTGCTCAGTTTGCTATTGTTCTTGTTGATGTTTCCAATGCTTACCTTTGAAGGAAGGAGCTGTAAAGGGAGATGATGCTCAGCATGTTGAAGATCATGCAACAGATGCTACTTTATTAAATCTTTTATATAAGTGATTTCTGTTTTCAATGTCAAAGCAGGGGGTGAGGGGAAAGGCAGATGATTAGGTCCAGATCAAAGTTGATATGGACCCAACTTTATATCAGTCTTGCACAAGCTATCATCTCGTGAAGGTAAATACACCCCATATTTTCAACCCCAAGCCCTTTATTTTTGTACTTCCAAGAGAGTGCAGTAAAACCAAAGTTTAGTGAGACCAAAGTATGTCAGGTGGGTTCCACTTGTCCATTTTCTGAGTTTAACTAGGTCTTTTAAAAGAGAAGGAAAAACACTTTAGTGACTTTCAGTGAGGTTGCATGGTTTAGAATACTGGTGCACTATTTAGAACCGCACTTTATGGTCTGGTTCACATAATGAGAAAGAATGGTTTCATGGTATGGGCAACACACAGCCCAGAGGTTGCCTGTACTTCCTCTTTTTTATATTCCACCTCCACTTGTTTTCTTTTTTTCTCTTTTTTTTGGGGGGGAGTGAGTGAGGATCTAGAAAAGTGGGATGGCCACTCTCGGAAGCTCTAGGAGCAGTGATTCCTCTTAGATTATGAGTTAGAGAGAGAGAGAGAGGGAGAGAGAGAAGATACCTAGTTTTACACTCCTCTCTTTTTAACTGTTGGTTGTTTTCGAAAGTTGATGGGAAAGTCAGTGTGACATGGGGGCTACCGTGTTGGCAGTAGGTGTGCTTGATATGAAGTGAACTTGGATCTAGGTTGGAGTTCAAAGCAGTCATGAATATTAGTGGGTGCCCTTGGCCAAGCAACTTTTGATTATCAACAAAAATTTTGTGACTCATCAAAACTTGAGTTTAATCTGCAACTTTCATTTTTCATATCATTGAATCAGCAGTCTATGTCAGATTGTATATCCTACTGTATATATGTTTTACTAAATTTACATTCCTGGGTGTCCTGGACCCTTTGTGTACAGCAGGAGAGGAAGCTGAACACGTTCCATATGCGTTGTATCCGATGCATTTTTGGTATCACCTGGCAGGACAAAGTTCCAAATAGAGTCGTTCTAGATCTAGCTGGAATTTTTAGCATGTATAAATTACTGAAACAGTGAAGTCTACGTTGGCTTGGGCATGTTGTGAGAATGGCTGATGGTCGGATTCCGAAAGATCTCCTGTATGGAGAATTAGTGCAGGGAAGTCACCCCAGAAGGAGACCACAGCTGCAATACAAGGATATCTGCAAGCGGGATCTGAAGGCCTTGGGAATGGACCTCAACAGATGGGAAACCCTGATGTCTGAGTGTTCAGCCTGGAGGCAGGCGTTGCATCACATCTCTCCCAATTTGAAGAGACCTTTATCCAGCAGAGAGGCACTCATGAAAGCAGCAAAATCAGGGAACTAGACGGGGCACAGATTGTATTTGTCTTCAGTGTGGAAGGGATTGTCACTCTCGAATTGGCCTTCTCAGCCACACTAGATGCTGTTCCAAGTTCTCCATACAGAGCACACTACCATAGTCTCTCGAGACTGAAGGATGCCTAATCTAAAAATTTACATGTTTTGGGGGATGATTTTTTGCAAAAAGTATTGACTAAAACATGGAAATGTAGTTTTGTGCAGATTTTTCAATGGCACACATTTTACAAAAAGAACAAATTTCTTGGACATACCTTTGAAGATGTGAATTGGAACACCAGCTCGTAAATATGTGGATTTCCAATTGCAAATTGTATTCATGTCTGCATTCAGATAAGCTTGTTGTAAATAGGATATATTCTTCCAAATTTCGAGCCCAATGAACTTCTCACCCATTGCTAATCCCAGGATATGATAATGTTGCAATAGGATAAAGCCTCATGCAGATTGTCCTGACCACCTTTCAAAAAAAGAATGTAACACAAGTGTGAAAAAATATAGAGGTGAAATTGCAGTGAGGTTTGCACTATCAGTGTTTTATGAAACTCAGGTTTCTGCTTAAATCACTCATAAAACCCCTACAATGTGTCCCAGCAGTACTTAGTAGAAATGCTTGGCTTTACATGAATTTTAAAAAAGTGTTCTTTTCTCTGAGTAGCTACATTTGTGCCTGGCCTGCCCCACTGGCTAATAGGTGGAACATGAAATTCTCAGAGATTGGAAAAAACTGTCTGAAATCTTATTGGTGTAAACGCTGATGGATTCTAGAAGTTGTCCCCACCCTCCACATTCCAAACAATAATTTTTTTCTCACCTCTGAAGGTGCCTTGAGGGTCATCTAGACCAACTCCTGCATGAAACAGGAATCTTATAACTACAGTATCCTTGATGGATAGCCATGCAGCTTCAGACTCTACTTTAGCGAACATCCATTAAGAAAAACTGTCATCACCTGAGGCAGTATATTTAATTATCAAAAGGGTTCTTACCGTTAGGAAACTTTTTCTAATGTTTAGCTGAAACCTACCTCCTTGCAGTCCGAGGCCTCGATTTTTAGTCATGTCCTCTAAAGAAGCAGAGAATGCATATTGTATGTGATAACCACTGTCATACCCTTCCTTCATTTTCCCTTCCCCAAGCTAACTGTGACCAAGTCTTTTCCACACAGGACTTGGTTTCAAAACTTTAATAATATTTTCCCACTTCTTTTCTTCACAGGAACAAGGCAAGATTGGTGTTGTCTTCAACATTGGCACAGTTGATATCTCTATCAAAGAAGAGAGCACCCCGGTGAACGATGGCAAATACCATGTGGTGCGCTTCACCCGAAATGGTGGTAATGCAACACTTCAAGTGGATGGATGGCCAGTGAATGAACATTACCCTTCAGGTAAATGTCTAGTCGAGAAATCTCTCTCTCTCTCTCTCTCTTTTAAGCTACTAATTCCAGGCCTTAAAATAAGGAACGACACAGTAAGCTGGAGAGCCATGAAGAATCATTCCACAGCTCCACCTGCAGGAATGAAGAGCTTGAGCTGGAATTGTCTCCGTTTAAGAAAACTGAAAAGATACTCGCCATGTTGGGAAAAGGATGCATTTTGTAAGAAGAGGAGTTGCAAACATGTAATGTGTAAAAATGAACACATACTGACACATGTCTCTGGGTATAATCTGATTTTGCAGAGAGTGGAAGAACGACAACTCAGACAACACTAGAACAGAACTGGAGAATATTTGGCTCCCCAAACATTTTGAATTTGAAAACGTTTTGAATTTCGGATCAGTGGTAATGACTTGTGTTAAACTCACAAACAGATGGAGGGGCCAAGAGTTCTCACTCCTGTTCTGGAGTACTGATGGAGTTTTTAAAGGGAAGATCATGGATAATGCTTCCATGTATGTTGGAAACTAAAACCACAACCATCAGGCAAATGGTGAACTGCTGCTTGTGGCCTTTTTAAATCAATGAGAATAGGATGAAGCACAGGAAGGCTAGGAAGTGAGAGCTTCCATAAATTTAATATCAGTCTGAGAGGATAGTCAGCATCGTGGTTTATAAATATTTCTAATTGTTTTTCTTCTTTTCTGCTAGGGCATCACTAACAAAAATCTGTGTTTGGAATCTAAATATCCCATAACAAGGCAAGTGTTAATGGCCTTGACTTACATGAAGACTGAAACAGTATTACTAGAGGCATGTGATTAAAAGAGCTGGGTATTGACTCATTGACTCATCTGTGGTTTTATTTTAATTTAGTAATAGAAGACCTATAGATCATATTTCAGCCAGATAGCCCTCTATTGCTCCTTCATTGTACCCTGTCCTGCACTGGAAAGCATGTAACTCACTGCTGTTGTTGATCAATACTGTTGGAATAGAAGATGCACAACCCAGTTAAACTGAAGTAAAGAGGAAAACAGAAATTTAAGTGCATAGATGGGGGGTTGGGAAAGAAGATGCAGAGACAGGCCGCTAAAGGCATTTTTCTACCTTGTGAAGAAATATTGAGTTTCTGTATTATTCATTGGTTGAAGAACATGATCATTCTATTCCTCAACTAACATGCTCAGTGATTTATTGGAATAGTGTAGTTAATTGTTTTTTTTAAAAGAAACTTTAATGATTTTGACAGCTCTATAGAAATAATTGGAGTAATTAGGGAAATCATATCTTTAGTTCATGAACAACAAATGGATCCTCTGTTTCTAGTATTAACTATATTCTTTTGTTTCTCCACTAATGGGTTATCATGTTTTCCAGGCAAAGTAACAGTCAATAAAACAGGATCCTGATTTACATAACAGCAATCAATGCTATTTTTGGAGGTTCCTTCTGATTTAATTAGGACAGACCAGGAGATACCCTAGGTAGGTAGTGTGCATACTGAATAAAAATACTGGAAGAGAAAGCAGATTTTTGACTTGGGGGGGTTGTTGTTTGTTTCTTTGTTTTAGCTAAGAATGAACTATGGTATTGCCCATGAATTCTTGGTTTTAAAGAAATTGTCAATTTTCTTTTACCTTATCCATCTTTGGCATGGGAGCTTAGTGAGTAGGAAGCTGATATGCTCAAAACTCACCAGAAGGAATAAAGGGGACAAACTGAATGTCAAAGGAATAGATCGTGAGTAGAAGGGGCATGAAAAATACTTCCTGAATTCTTCACCTTCTTTGATTTGGGCTGTCTCTTTGGCCTGTCAATTTCCCCAGTTCTAGCCAAGAGGAAGTCAATCTTTTTGTAATCTTCTCAACATATGGCTATAGAAAAGTAGTCCTTTATCTTTCAGAAGCCAATCATACATAGAAAGAGCAAACACGGAAGAAAAGGGCAAACAACTCATCCACTGTACATCATCAATAAATACACACTTCCTCTTCCGTTTCATCTGCCTTCTGGTGGGAAAAAGTTTGTGTCCAGTGATCTGCTTTCCTCATCCCTGCTATAGAATTCCTGGGGTGGAGATTTTTGGCACCTACCATAGTACATTTCTCTCTTACCTCCATTGCCTCATAGTGTGGTGGTTAGACTGTTCTACTACAGCCAAAACTTTGCTCATGATCCACATTCGCCTTCACCTCTGCCTTTCCTCCAATAGCTTAATTCCAGAAGCCACCTGACAACTGTTTCGTCAAACAACAGCAAAAATGTTTGTGAAAACTTTTTTTGGATCCTGGAGGAAGGAAAGAGGTGAAACGGCTGATGGACAATTGCCAGAGCAATTGAAAGCTCTCAGAATAGTAAAAGCTCCTGTAGAGAACCAGCAGTGTTTGTGAGTGGAGGAAACCCCAGCAGACAGGCTGGCCCACAACAAATCAAAGTTCCTCAGCCTACTTTCCCTATGCTTCTTTTTAGGAGCAGCTCCTCAGCTTAACGCCACAGCTTTGGCAAAGGACATTCTTGTCTTGAATTGTCATGATGAGCTGAACTGCTGAGAAGTTCCTAGGTAGATAGTTTTCTATGTCTTGCGGTTTTCTGTCACATTTATGGGATGATATGCAAGGAGTTGCAGTTATTTGAAGTTTCAAATTGCCTAAGAGGGTAGGCCAGTTGTTATTAATTAAATCAACCAAGAGATAACAGTGGTGCCTTGCCTCGAAGCACAACTATCAGTCAAGATGGAATTAAGATGAAACCAGCCTGATGGAATGTAAAGACTATAAAGTTTGTAACTCCTTCTACAGAGACAAGAGAATGGAGAATGCAGTTGGGCACCAACAAAACACTGAAATATCCAATTACTTCTCAAGCAGTTATGGTACCTATGCTGTTCATTTGAAGGGCCAGGAAAGGGAAGGGTACAGGTCTTATTTAAAGGAAAACATTTGTAGGTTGGTTAAGTTTTGAAGAAATTAAAATAATAATCCTTATCATTGAAGAGAATGCCCTTGCATCTTACAGTTGTCTGTGGTACTCTATCCTTAAAGGAGTTTTCTTAATGGCATTTGAACCTCAGAGCAGCTGATCAAGGGGGCATTTACAGGCACTATAAAGATCTTCATGAAACAGAAGAGGGAATGTAAGAACTGTTGTGTAGCAACCAAGCTGATGGTCTCTGTCTTGCCACAGGGAACTTGTGATGTAATGATACATGTGACAAGACAGAATGCTGCAGCCAAATTCCCAGGCAACACACTGCATTCAGGCAGTAGAATACTACAACATTGCTTCCAATCACTGGAAGCAATGTAATGCTTCCAGTGATTTGGCCATGTTAGGCAAATCCTAATGGATACATGATGTCACAATGTCGTAATTGGCTCTAAACACATACTCAGCAGAAAGAAAAAAAGAATATTGATGCTGTTTGATGTAGAAAAGAAGAAGAGGCAGCAACAAATATTGGCAAAAAAGTACATATACACATAGGACAGTTCAACCCCAAGCAGTTGCTGAATGAGAATTACTAATATAAATTGCCAAAAGGATCTGCCAAATGTCTTTATCAAAAGGAACATGATACGTGATCTATAAGGAATGAGTTGATGTATCTTTAGTGGACATCACTAATGTATTTTCTGAAGTAACCAGAATCTAGTGCAGATGACAAGTTTGGTACTCACCATCACGAGATGTCTTAAAAGAGGGGAGATTCAGACAACCTACCGTAGAATCATAGAATAACTGAGTTAGAAGGGCCCTATAAGATCATCAAGTCCAACTCACTGCTCAGTGAAAGAATTCAAAGCCAAGTATATCTGACAGATGACTATCTAGATTTCTCTTGATTGCCTACAGAGTTGGAGAGCTCACCACCTCCCAAAATAATTGGTTCCATTGTTATACTGCTCTGACAGTTAAGAAGTTTTTCCTGATATTCAGGCAAAATCTTACCTCCTGAACCCATTATTACATGTCCTGCATTCAGGAATGACCAAGACCAAATCCTGCCCTTCCGCTGTATTGCAACCTTTTAAGTATTTGAGGAGTATTATAATATCTTCCCTCTGTCTTCTTTTCTCAATGATAAACATGCCCAGATCTTGCAATCCTTCCTTATACAGCCTGGTTTCTTGTCCCTGTATCATCCTTGTTACCTTCATCTCAACTTGTTCCACTTTGTAAAACGGTGTGTCTAGAACTGGCCGCAGTAGTGAGACTAACCAGTATCAAATAGAGGAAAATTAGCATTTAATATGGTCTGATGACTATAATTCCAATAATGCAGCCTAGAATAGCTTTTGCCTTTTTTTGTTGCACCTGCTTCATACAATTGGCTCATATTCAGCTCATGATCTACAACAAATCCAAGATTCTTCTCACACGTAGAATTGCACAGGCAAGTTTTCTCCATCCTGTAACTGTGAATTTGGTTTCTATTTCATATTTTTAGACCTTGGCACTTATCCCTGTTAAATTTCTTTCTGTTGATTTCAACCCAGTGCTTTGAGCCCATCAAAATCTCTTTTAATGTTGTTTCTGTCTTCCAGGATGTTAACTCTTCCACCCAATTATATGTCACCCACATAGAGTTTGTAGATTTTCTGGAAAATTGTCCATTTGTACACAAAATTGCCCAGATTCTGCATATATGCTACCAACTGCCCCAAACAGTGGTGACTGCTGCTTTGTTTAAGAAACATGAGATGGGTTGTCCTCCTGTGCATGCTCTGTGGTGTTGCTGTGTGTCCGTGACAGGGTGTGCATGCCCTTTGCTTTTCAAAAAGAAATGACACCAGAGATGCTTTGTACAAAAGCCCCTATTACTTTGCTCCTTGGTGTAACTGAGGAATCTCACATGACTTTAAAATTCCTCCTCAAGCTGTCTTATTTTCATGTTGACACTGTATAAACTGACATGAATAAGGCACTCTTTCTTTTGTAATTATTCTTTATTTCTATTTGGGTTGCCAAAGGGGTAGCACAAAAGAAAGTTTGCTAGGTAAAAAATG